CATTTAGTTTGTTGTTAAATATCGTTTAGTTTGTTCACAAAGATCGCTTAATTTGTTCTTAAATGTCGCTTAGTTTGTAGTTAAATATAGCTTTTGCTGAGTTTTAATTGACCGAAAACCTGAGTCACTTTCGGCCGGATGGCTGAAAGTCTAAGTCAATTTCGGCCGAAACCGAAGAAAAACCGAAAGTTAAATTTTCAGTTTCGGCCGAAACCGAAACTTGGCCGAAAGTGATAAAATGGACACTTTTGGCGCCGAAACCGAAGCCGAAATTCGGTCGGTCTCTACACACAAAATACACATATATGCCTGCTTGGATATTTTTAATTTTTTTTTTATTTAAGCTAAATTTAAGGAATTTTAATTCAATATTTTTTATATTCATATTAAATTAAATTAAGGAATTTTGTTTTTATATGTTGTCTATTTATGATAAATTTAAGTATTTTACTTTAACCTGTTTTATATTTATGTTAAATTTAAGAAATTTTGATTTTATATTTTTTTATATATGTAAAATTTAAGGAATGAAGAATTTTACTTTCATAATTTATATATATATATATATGTAAAATTTAAAGAATTTTACCGTCTTGACGAGCTGGCAGCCTTTAATAAATCCTCTGTTGAAATCTTCTCATATCTTTCTTTCATCCTGACAATAGCATCCTTTGTTACGCCATGACAGTTTCTCCTGTGATTAACATCAAGCAGATTTTAGGTGCCGGATTTGTATACACACTTTAGAGAGCACCTACCAATATACACTTAAGAAAGTTCCTACCCATATACTCTTTAGAGAGCTCCTACCAATATATGGCATGGACACAACACCCACCTCCTATCATGAATACCTGGCTAAACGTTTTTTTAACTACCTAGAGGCAACACTGGTCAATATATATTTTTTTTTTTTAAAGTACTGGCAATAGAGATGGTTGTAATTATGAACAAAGAATTACTTTAAACTAAAATATCATAAACCAGATGTCATCAACGTTGCATGAAAATGCTATAACTCTCCTCACTCATCTTTACAATACTTTTAAAAGCATTAAGATTGTAATCAAATGATGCTTTATTTACATCAAATGGTCTATGGTAATTTTTAAGGACATAATTCATTGGATAACTTCAAAAGTCTGATGTTCACAAACAAAACAAAGCAGCTAATGGCTCAATCGAGTGGTGCGGTGCTTTGCTCTATTTCAACATCTGTACTTCACCATGTAAATGCAACTGAAAGAAATGGGTACCTTGCCAGTTCCCTGACTTTCAAACTCCAGGTTGTATCAGGTTCAAAGACTTGCACGTCATACTTGTGCTTCAGAGCCTAGAACAAAAAATAGTTTAAACCTATCTTGCACGTCATACTTGTGCTTCAGAGCCTAGAACAAAAAATAGTTTAAACCTATCTTGCACGTCATACTTGTGCTTCAGAGCCTAGAACAAAAAATAGTTTAAACCTATCTTGCACGTCATACTTGTGCTTCAGAGCCTAGAACAAAAAATAGTTTAAACCTATCTTGCACGTCATACTTGTGCTTCAGAGCCTAGAACAAAAAATAGTTTAAACCTATCTTGCACGTCATACTTGTGCTTCAGAGCCTAGAACAAAAAATAGTTTAAACCTATCTGAAATAATCTACACTGCTGCTGTAACCTTTTAAGGATTTACAAATTGGTATATTCTTTGACATTCATTAAAACTAGCAAAAATCCAAAACAAATAATTTAAAAAAAAATCATTTTAGCAGTTTTGCAACCTTAAAAAAAAAATTGAAAGGTTAAAATATTAAGACAGACTAAGCTATGTGCCAAGACAGGCTAAGCCATGTGCCAAGACAGGCTAGGCCATGTACCAAGACAGACTAAGCCATGTGCCAAGACAGACTAAGCCATGTACCAAGACAGACTAAGCTATGCTAAGCAGATAAATGTATGCTGAAAGATGTAACAAACTATAAATGAACAAGTACTCAATGCTCATGTCATGCATAATAGGAAAATAACTTTTGTTTAAGAAAGCATTCTATTCAGTATTTGAGCAGTAACGATTATAACCTTTACAATACAGTTCCACGCACAATACAATTCTCAAAGCAGCATTCATTGTGACTGGGTTTGAACATATCAATAGATATTTTTAAGGAGATTTTAATTATGACTGGTAATCAAGAAAAGGCGCTGGTATTCATTCTTCAGCCTGCCGACAAAGATCAAATGTACTCAGGGTCATGCACCAGAGATTACATGTACTCAGGGCCATGCATCCCAGATCACAGACACTCAGGGCCATGAGTCATAGATCACAGACACTCAGTGCAATCCACCACAGATCACATGCATTCAGTGCAATCCACCACAGATCACATGCACTCAGGGCAATCCACCACAGATCAGATGCACTGAGGGCAATCCACCACAGATCACATGCACTCAGGGCAATCCACCACAGATCAGATGCACTCAGGGCAATCCACCACAGATCACATGCACTGTTGATGCACTCAGGGCAATCCACCCCAGATCACATGCACTCAGGGCAATCCACCCCAGATCACATGCACTCAGGGCAATCCACCCCAGATCACATGCACTCAGGGCAATCCACCTCAGATCACATGCACTCAGGGCAATCCACCCCAGATCACATGCACTCAGGGCAATCCACTCCAGATCACATGCACTCAGGGCAATCCACCCCAGATCACATGCACTCAGGGCAATCCACCCCAGATCACATGCACTCAGGGCAATCCACCCCAGATCACATGCACTCAGGGCCATGCCCCACAGATCACATGTACACAGGACCATGTGCCACAGATCACATGTACACAGGACCATGTGCCACAGATCACATGTACACAGGACCATGTGCCACAGATCACATGTACACAGGATCATGAAAAGGGGGATGAAAGGGGCACCTGCTCCAAGCGTCATCTCCAGAGGGCACAAATTTTTTTTTTTTTCGCAATATATGCATATATATAAATATAACTTTTTGGGGGAAGAGGACACCTAAATTCAGACTCTGCCCTGGGTGCAGAATTTGGTACCACCCCCCCCCCCCCCACTGTACTGCTATTTGAAGATCACAAAAATCTGTAGCAGTTACTAATCTCTATCATGGGTTAAAGTCCGTAGGGTCATAGATGCATACAAACTAACTCAGAGAGTTTTGAGTTCAATAGATTAGTCATGAACTGACTAACTTAGAAATATGTGAATTCAATAGATTAGTCATGAACTGACTAACTTAGAAATATGTGAATTCAATAGATTAGTCATGAACTGACTAACTTAGAAATATATGAATTCAATAGATTAGTCATGACCTGATTAACTCAGAGAGTTGTGAGTGCAGAAATTTAGCCAAGACCTAACAGAGTATGTCAAAGAGCAGCTAAAATATGTCTTGACTTTAGTCTGGAAATTATTCTCAGTCCTGGTGCTATCACACTTAACACAACGGGTCAAGGGTCAAATTTGATTGTGTTATCTGTCAATTCAATTTAGTTCTCTAAAATTTTAAACGCTCTTTTTCTTATCCTTACAGAGCTTACGGCTAACCCCCCTCCCCCCCCCCCATGCGGTTCAATAATTTTAGTTCATAACCCATGACCCCTAACCCTGTTCATATCTGGAGCAGACAAGAAAATTCAATTTAGTTCTCTAAAATTTTAAACGCTCTTTTTCTTATCCTTACCAAGCTTACGGCTAACCCCCCTCCCCCCCCCCCCATGCGGTTCAATAATTTTAGTTCATAACCCATGACCCCTAACCCTGTTCATATCTGGAGCAGACAAGAACGACAATCTTCACTCAAGACTTACAACTTCAGCATATGGCAAAAATTCCCATAGCGTTGTATTTGTGTTGTCGATAATGATGGGTGACTTGCTCTGCTTTACATAGTTAAGGGCTGTTGAAGAGATATAGGCCAATTAAGTTAAGATAAGGCGAGAAATGGAGGATGTAGAACAAACAAATTTTAAAATTAATTTAAAAGAAAATTTGAATAAAGCATAAAGTAAAGCATACCAAGTGATTAACCTAGAGAATAATAATGGTCGAACTAAAATAAAATGTCTATCATATATTTATTAGTATACAACTTCAGTAGTTACATGCGTGAATGAGTTTAACTGTATAATCCAATAAGTAGTTGCAAAGATCTGATAGAAAGGTGATTTTAATTTATATTTATTGCAAAGAAAACCCGTTCGGATGTGCAATGAATAAAATGATAATTAACATATATAAAAATTGGAATTAGCCGCCAAATAATGCAGCTATATAGGGAAACAGAAATCTAACTCATCCAAAAGCCTGCTGGTTTTGTTTAACTTTTCTAAAGAAGTTTATTTTTTCTTGCCAAATAGCAATATATTTTCTAAAGAAGTTTTTTTTTTTTTGCCAAACAGCAATAGAGAAGTGAAGACAAGTTGAGAAAGCAAATGGTCGACAGAATGTGATACGGGAAACACAAAAGGTCAATGTACGACCTCGCTGCTTGTTCCAGTCGTGAGCTGTTCCCAAATCATTCCTGTTGAACTTGTAGATCCCTCGTTGCATAAAGTAGTCATCGGTTGACAAGATGACTCCCTCTGTTCCCATTTTCTGACCTTCTGCAATCAGCTGGCTGTGATCATACAAAAATATTACTATTGAATTAAAGCTTGGGTCTGCAAACTGGCGTGAATTACCCCAAATGGGATAACAATGAAAATCTTGTGGGGGTAATGAGAGCTCAATAAATACAAATCAAATTATATTTTGAGTTTTTCCTTTTTTTACGAAAAAGATTTTCTGGCAACTCTGCAGCTGATCGGGGAAATAGAAAAATACACCAACACATTCTGGCTTAGTGTGCCTTGGTGGCTAGCGTAACCGCACATCTTGTTTTGTAGATCTCATTTTTTTGCCTATTACCTAATTTTATCTTATGCTCGATCGCCTTATTAGCATTGTTGCCACCCAGAGCGGTTAATTCATGGTTTCCCCCTATGCAGACTTCAACATGGACCTCCTACACATCTGCCTGCTTCGGTGGTACCTTACGCTTGTGGCACTGTTCTCGTTGCACCATTCCCTTATGACACTTTCTCTGGTACTGCATCACCCTGTCCTTGTATTTTACTTATAGATTGATCTATTACAAAACTGACTTGATCGAGCTCTGTCAGATTTAAAATTTTCCATTTGGAGCCATCCCACTGTGAGGATGTCAGTCCCCTGTGATGGTATCTTTCTTTTACTGCTTATGCTAAAAAAAAATAATGGCTTTGATAGAAAGTTTTTTGTTTTTTTTTAAATGTGTTACTTTTTATTATTAAAATTGTAATCATTATATTATCAACAAAATATTATTTCCTTTTTTTTTTTTAAGCTCTCATATGAGCTCCCCTATCCACCCTTCACTGAATGAAGCAGATGCAATGTTAATAAAACTCAGTTGCAACAAGATAATCAACAGCTTTCAGGTGACAACTTCACAAGAAAACGATCAATTGAGCAAAATTGTCTTGTATGTAAACAAAAAAAATAACGCTCCATTCATGAGATGGAAATGCAAGGAGAAATAAAATCTATAAAAATGAATCATAGGAATCAATTATCAAAGCAATATGACAGTATTCAAATTCAAATTACAAATAAAAAATATTTTTAAAACGTTTTAAAAAAATGACTTTCAAAGGTGAGTTTAAGTGCACTAAAAAGTAAAAAAAAAAAAATTTTTTAATTTGAAGCCAAAGAGTTCCAATTGAATGTATAAGAAACTTAAATTATTTTTGTGTTTTTTTTTCTTCTAATTATTGAAAATATTCTCTGCATAGACTTTCTTTGTGTAATGAAATTAATGAAATTTTAAGCAAATTATTTTCCACTTTTTATTCGGCTTAAAACCCATCTTCAAAAGAAAAGCTTTTTAAAAAGTTTTTTGTTATTTTCTTCTTTTTAGCATGATCATTTTAATCTGTAAACTATTCACAAAAGAATAATTTTTTGAACAATGAATGCTTACAAAATGCTGGCTATAGGGGCTTAGCTCTGTACCCAGGGATATAACTGACTAATCACCTTTTCTTATTTCCCCACCACTCCCCACCCCATCCCCTCAACCCAGCACACTGGAGCTGTAATTCTGTTTCATTAACTCAGACGACCTTTAAGTTTATTTAACACGAAGAAGACACAATCAACTGAAGAAAAGTGCCAAGTGTGTCCAAAAAATAAAAATAATGCTCAACGAGATAATAGGAGTAGAGAAAAGGTCTTAAAAGAAAAAAATATTTGATGTTATCGTATCAAAATAAAACATAATTTCAGGAATTTAAAGAATCATTTTTTTTTCAAAGAAACTTTTTTGTTTCATAATGAGGATTTTATTAATTTAATTCTTACAATTTATTTTAACATTTTTATTTTATTATTATTGTTTACAGGTATCTAAATAAATGGATTCTATAAACCATTATTAAATTAAAATATGAATGATTTTTTTTTAGTTTCAAATCGAGGGGGTCAACAACGACGTAAATAAATATATTTTTGCGCAGCGACCCGAAAAGTTCGCCAACCCTGATGTAAAGTATTAGAAACTCAGAATCGTAGAAAACATTCAATTTTGTCAAAATTAGAAACTCAGAATCGTAGAAAACATTCAATTTTGTCAAAATTAGAAACTCAGAATCGTAGAAAACATTCAATTTTGTCAATCTTTCATTTCAAGTCCTGATGCTAGGGATATCAAGGGATATTTAATAATGAATGGTACCGTTATCTGAAAGTGATTGTAATTAATTTAATTATTAAATTATTAAAAATGTAATAATCAAAATTTGTTATATTAAATTCTATTTGAGTAGGGCTGCTTGCTTTTTTTTAAAGAGTTTCTCTGTCAAACATTACAAATTAAATAAAATGTTCAAAGCCCTTTAAATATATTATATAATAATTATTTTCCACTCACTTGGCCAGATATGATTTCCCACTTCCTGGCAGGCCTCTCAAAATCACCAAAACTGGCTGTTTCTCCAGAATATATAGCCGGATGACATCCACCGGCGTCTTCACCCCGCGGAAGGCCAGTTTGTTCTTGAATAAAACTGTTTCACTGGGTGATGATGTCAGTATCTCCGAGTTTGTAGTGACTGCACCTTTTAAACCTATTGATCGAGCACCACTGCACAATACTTGGCCTTTGCTCATCAAGCTTTCTGCTGTTAGATTTTTTGGAGTCGCTGGTGAACTTACTGGAGGAGCCTTCCCTTGTAAGGAAGGTGGCAGCCGGGATGCCAATGTGGAAGATACAGACTGCATTTTCTGTGGACTATCACTTAGCATGCTCACCGGCTCACCAAATAAGGGACCAGGGTGAGTTTCATTTGATATCAGGTGAGAGGCTAGCGGTTTTTGGCGAAAATGATTTTTTTTCAAGTCCTGCTTCCATTCTCCCGATGATGATGAGGAATTGGAAATGATGGACTGAGATCTTGTCTTGTAAGATACTGATGCAAACTTCTTTATACTACCTTCATTTGATCTTGTTACATCAGAAGAATCTAAGCCAACTGCCCACGGAGGCATCTGTCTTTGCTGTGACTGATGCATGGTGGAAAAAGTGTTCTTCTTCTTCTTCTCTGGTGTTTTTTGTGTCTGAGGTCGCCCTAAAGTCCTAGGAGAAAGGATGGCATGCCATCCCAGTGGGTCAATAGGATCCTCATAGCATTCCATCTCCTCAAGATGATCATCTTGGACATGTTCCCTCTGACCGTTAGCCTCAGTGGCCGCCAACTGTTGCTGGTTCAGACCGCCGGAAAGTCCACGTTCTCGTTTCTTTGCTTTACCGGACTTCTTCTTTTTGGGTGATCCAGCTACTGGAGTCTGCGGCTGGGGGTCTAAATTTCCAGAAGGCTCTTTCATTTTGACCGGCGAGAGCCCCTGTTGACCTAGTTTCACTGCCTGTTGGTGAGCCATCGGTGGCTGGGGATGAAACTCTGCTGCATCTGGAGACAAGTTTATCTTTGTCTCCACATTTTTAATATAAGAAATGTGTGCACCGTCTTTTGTGGAGAGGTCCATTTCTATGTTCCTGCTGTTAGCCTCACCTGATTTGCATTCAGTATCATTCCTGACTTTTGTGGTCATATCAGATTGATCCATATTTTGTGAAAAGCTCACAGCTTCTGGTATATTTAGAGTCTCTTTGGGATAGAATAAATTTTCCTCTATTTCCTCTACATTTTCAGTCATAGGCTGAGTGTTTTCTTTACTCAGATTATTCACTTCCATTCTTTGAGCATTATGTTTTTTCTTTGACCTCCGGTTTCTCTTCTTTGGAGTTGTTTTCGGAGCGACAGATGGAACAGTTGCGCTGTTAACTGACGTGAATGATGAATCCATGGCTTGCCACCTCCAAGTCTCCACATTGGTATTCGTGAAATTACCAGGAACAAAATCGATCTCATCTGGATCTAAATCTAGCTGTTCATAGAGTTCATCCCAGCCATTAATTAGGTCACTGGGTTTTTTCGATGGACTTTGCCCGCTAAAATCTCTTAACCCATTTACACATTTTTTCATTTCAGTAAAACTTTCATCAATAATATTATGATTTGATGGTGATAAAAATTCTTGTAAATTACTTTTATGCATTCTGTCTGATTTATGAACAAAAGATTCTAGTTGTTGAGCCTTAGGACCAGACATATGTAAATTACTTGAAAAACAGTCTTTCCCTGAAATATTTTTTACTCCTCCGATGGAATAATTATTTGCAGACACCACCAGTTTCGAACCCCTAAGACACTCAGTAAGTTCTGATGAATGATTTACAAAAGAAGACTTTTGACTTTTATCACCACTAACAGAACGACGTGTTTCCACACGTCTGTTTGAACTACTAGTCCTATGCGACTGGCCGATCATGGGTGCACCACTTCTTGACTGAACTTCAACTTCAGAAAGCTTCACAAAATTTAAATCGCTATCATCGACCCGATGACTGGACACAGCACTATTTCCAATGTCTTTTAATCTCACAGGAAATGGAGATGTACTTGAAATGTGTGATTCCTGACCTACCTTGATCAATGATTGTGGTGAGACATTGCTAAAATGAGAATTTATTCCTGTATTGCCTATTTGATCCGACTCCCCTTGTAACCTTTCAGCTGGGCTACTGAAAATATTCAGTCTCTTAGCGGATGTGGCCTCATCAGAAAGTAAACTGCACGCAATTATGGCTAGGTCTGTTTCTTCTTGTTTAATACGGTGTTTGCCTTCTTCAAGAATTTCAATAACTTTGTCTGTAGCTTCTGGAACTGCAAATTATAAAAGAAATGTCATCTTTTTACATTTCACTTTTAAATTATTTACTGTTTCTACATTACAAACAATGTTTGCCCAAAATGGCAAAGCTTGAATGTAATTAAGAATTAATTGTTTCAGCCAGCAACCCTACAGAAGACATTGTGCCACTCCGAATGAGGTCATAATAGGATGGGTTGAAAACCAGGGTGGTATTTGAAATAGTAAAAAACTTATGAAAACAGAATATTTCTTGTATAGTATGACAATGTTTGCAGTATTTACTTTATGTTTACAAACATTTACATTTGAATTAATAGCTATGTTTCAAATAATCACTTTGATGAATAAAATTTTTTTTTTAAATTAAATTTACAATGGGTTGAAAAACGGTTCTTTGACTGGCTATCAAAACTGGGTCAGTACTCAGCCACTAGACCACCTATGTCTATAAATTTATTGACAAATCAAAATATTGTGACCTATTTAAGAGTTTTCTTATGAATATGTGCAATAGCCTTTTCATTTAATAAACACATTACAATAGGCATATTCATAGTACAATATCAAAATATAGTATGGTATCTTGAGAGATACATTATTTTTGCTGGCATCCATCCATCACAATGTGTGGACTTCATAGGACGAATTCCACAAGGCCTCGGATTATTCTTCTAGGATTATAAGCTGGTTCCCAACAGCAAATCGCCTCTCTCCGCACGGCTGGATAAGCCCAAGGGAACATCATGTGGATGATACAGCTTGGCTCCAGTGGCGTCGCACGAGATGTCTGAATGTTTCAATGTACCAATGTTATCTGCCTACTGGACTCCATCTCCGGGTTTGAATTCAGAGTTTCCTTCTCTTAGATTAGTTGCCATTCAAGGTTGACAAGTCCCATCCACCCGGCGTGCTGGTGATGATTTTGCTTGACTGGGCTGTGGTAGGGATTGAACTCCAGACCATCATCTTGAGATTTGCTCAGTATGATCATTATATGTCATATAATTTATGACATCCCACATTTTTAACTGCAAAATTAATCATTCGAATCTTAATAAGGGTATTATTTTTTTTTTTTAGCTGGCTAGGCTTCTGGCTTAGTGTCTTGAATTTTGCTCAGTATGATCATTATATGTCAAATAATTTATGACATATCACATTTTATACTGTAAAAATAATCAATTAAATCTTAATAAGGGTACCCTGTATTATTATTTTTTTAGCAGGCTAGGCTTCTGTCTTAGTGTCTGGCATGCACTCTCTAAATTTGACCAAGTTTATAATAAAGCTATAGGCATGGGTTTGAATAATTTATCACATCCACAGGGATAAGCATACATTTTAGGCATTTAGTAGGCTAATAAAATTATATTATATAGTTTAGTCACTTAGTAGGCCTTCACACTTTTATAAATTAGCATTGAATTTATAGACCTATAGGTTTTCTAGTTAGGAAATGCTCATGTTGGGTGGCACATGGGAAACGCAGGTATGGCTTCTCTTAACGCAGTTGAATGGATTTTAAAGGCTGCCATATCTTGTTCAAATCAAAACACTTCAAAATCAGCATTTAACGTATAATTAAATTGCTACCATATATATTATAAAAAGGAAAAAAAAAATACTATTTTTAAAAATGAATGAAATAATTTAATTATAAAATATTTTTAATTAAGAAGAAAAAAAAAGGTTTAGTCCTAGGCCTAGTAAAACTCAATTAGCATCTGAAACTTGATTACCCCGCTAGTATAATTTCGCTTAGCCTTTACTCCACCACAAGGCTACACAAGCCAAGATCACATACGGTTTGTCATTTCTTAGACCAAAAAACGTCATAGCACACTAAACTATTATTAGAACGTAGGACAAACATTTTTTAAAACATGGCAGCTAATAGTGTGTTTCAGCATATCGTTCTGACTGAAAAAAATGTTCCAGGTGCAGTTTTGTCAAAAATAGATATTTCTGCCTCTCAGTTTTGCAACTGAAAGAGTGCTTAAAATGCACTGTCACTGGAGTGCAGAGAAAGGGTGAGGTGAGAAGAAGGGGTGTGGAAAAGGGGTGGGGCTGAGAAAAGGCGGGGTGAGGAGAAGGGATATGGAAAAGAGGTGGGGTGCAGAGAAAGTTCAAGGGTGCGGAATAAGGGCGGGGATGCGGAGGAGAAGGAGCGCTGTTCATTTATGTATCCTGTTAGAACAAAATATTCAAAATTTAAAACAGGATATAGAGTTACTGTTACATGAGCCATAAGCGCAATTCAGTCTATTTCACAAAATGTATATCATTTGAATATAGCAATAGCAGCAAAATAACATTTTGTAAAATATTTAGTAAAATATAGTTATAAAACAAATTTTGATTTAGGTTAAGGGCCACTTTGCTAACAAAGTAAAATAGTACTAAACAGTGTTAAAATTTTGTCTGACCTGAGTACCCGGATGATTACAGCAGTTTTATTAATAGATTTCCGCCATTAAATGACAAGCACTATTTAACTGCTATATCTTAAGAAAAGACCACTGGTCACTTTTTGCAGCTTTGTATGCAGGCTTAGGTCCATGGTTTTACTAGGTACACCACTACATTGTATTGTATGCAGGCTTAGGTCACTTAGGTCTATGGTTTTGCTAGGTACACCGCTGCGGTGAACGCAGCCTCATCTGAACTCATCATCTTGTCTATTATTGGCAGTGTCTACACATCTGGCGACCGGACAAATAGTGCGGGAGATATTCTTCCGGCGGGCATTTCACGTGACCACCGGGTGACTAGTATGTGTTATAATTCTGGCAGACTTATCATGTGACAAGAGGTCGCCGGCAAAATTATTTTCTAAAAAAAGTATGTTATCTTCTTTGTTTAAATACATTATAAAGCTCTACCTAGTAACCTAAATTTAAAATATGAAACAAAGAAAATAAGACCAATACTTGCCAGTTGACTGTCAATAGAACTACTGTCAAAAGAGTTTTATTTTAGGCTATTAATATTGCATGAGAAGTAGGCTGCCCCAAAAGCAAACTAGATTGGCAATATTGTCCCTATATTAAGATGTTGGGTCTATTTCTTTGTTAACTTTCGACCTCCCCGCCTTAATTATTTATCACTGTCACTATCATTTTTATCCTTTCTCTCTCACTCTCAGTTCAGTATTTCTTCCAGCTAGTATGCATTGTCGTCGTCCCCCCCCCCCCTTACTTATTTCTTGAAATTGAAATAAATGAAGTCGCCATCAATGCATCTCCGACTCCAATTTTATGTCCGATGCCAGTTTTATGACCGACATTAGCGGTCACATGACAAGGCTGATGGACAGAATGATATCTCGGCCAACTTTTTTATCTCAAGAATTATTCATCAGGTCGCCTGACATGTGGACACTTCATATAATAATAAGTATAATTATTATAATTATAACCACTCCATTATCTTAAATCCTAGCTACATTAGTAAAATTTAAAAAAAAACGTATTTTACCATCGTCCCCACATTGCTCTAAAATATCATTTAAAACGTCTTTGTCCACTTCTGGAAATATTTCCAACAAATTACTAATATTTTCATCTCGTGTTTTTAATTTTATCGTCATCGACAATTCCTCCACTGTTTTACTCCCTAAGTCCGGAAGAGAATCATGAGAAATTAATGAAGGCCATTCACTATGGCCATGCTGACTCCTCCGTCCTCCTTTATAGGTACTGTTGTCTTTATGATTTGACATTGTTTTTCATTTATCTTACATTCCTTTACAATATGTTTATCACGAAATCATTGTCAACAAAGATTGTTTAATTATAACTCTTTTTTCAAAGTTTAAAAAACGTACTATCGTGTCCATTTTTACCTAACAATTAGTTCTACTTTTTACTTTATTATTATAGCACAATTACCTCTTGAAATTAATATTTAACGTTTGAAATGTACACACAAAAAAAAAGCAATTTTCACTCAAAATAATTATTAATTACTTGCAATCAATGGACAGTGGCAGTTACAATGGGTTGGTAGTCCGTTAAACAGACATAATGCCTCAAATGCCACTGAACTTTTCACGACTATTACTATTACTATAAATACCAATAGTATTACATCTATTATTAAGCATGTACTATTTTATTAAAAATAAGTAGTATTTATATAGCAGCCCGATCCAACTACTCTTACTATGAATACTAATAACAATTATTAATGTATCTTCAAAATTAAATTTTTAAAGATTAAATGAAAGCAGAAATTTGTCCCAAGTAATAGTTAAATGTAGTAAAAATTAATAAAGCAGTTTCACTATCAATTACACTGGGGTAATGATGGGGGAAATTGAAAGTAAGCTTGGCTGGCCAAGCCCAAAATAGCGCCCATGTCAGTCAGCTTACGCAATAGAAAATGGGCATATCCTCATATAAAAATAGCATTACGATTACTTCAGCGCGATTATAATGTGTGTGGTTGGGGGGGGGGGGGGGGGGGGGGGGGGGGGCAGTGGCGTAGAAAGGGTGATGCGGAGGGGCTGGTCCACCCCAGGTGGCACATTTTTCTTTTTATGGAAAAGCGGCATCTTCGGCCAACTGTTAAGTTATTTTTTGTCGTGGAAGTAGGGCGACAAAAAAGCTTGGTGGCACTCACCCTTGCTACGCCACTGGGGGTGGGGGGTGTCCGTGGGAGGGGGACACTTTATAATCAGGCCTATAAACATATTATTTGAGAATAATTGGGAAAAAATTCTTATTTGACCCACTCTCCCTCCCCGCCATAAATTTGTCACAAAATTTTGACTCCCTCATAATAATTTGCGGTCACCTCAACCCCTAGTTGCGTGACGTAATTTATGCATGGTCTCATGTAAAACGAATGGCACACACAAAATATAGGCCTACTACACATTTTGTATGCTGTGACGTAGGAGGGTGCAGAGGGGGTGGTCCGCCCCCCCCCCCCAAACGGTTGCTGTTGTTTGTTTGTTTTTTTTTTGGGGGGTGGTGGGTACTTTATAAATTCTTTCTGTTTTTCTCTTT